TCTGTGCCCACTGTATATATATATATATATATATATATATATATATATACCTATATATAGACTAAGCTAGACTCTTATTTGGCCTCTGTCATCTGTTATATATTGAAACATTTTGGAAAACTAAAAATACAGTAAATGACTTGCAGTTACACATTTTATTTACATAATTTATACTTTGTACTTATTTACAATATAGCAAATCTTATAGCTTGATTGTTTACATCAAGGTCATATGTAAACCATCCAAAACTGCTAAAGCTGCTTTGAAATAATGTGTATTGTGAAAAAGTGCAGTGCAAATAAAAATATTACTGCGGTTTATCTAATGTGATGTCTTGTTCTTAATTAAATTTTTTATTGCTTGTTTTGTATTTGAGATACAAACACTGAATCTTGTTGCATTGTACAGTGACAATATAATATAATCCGTACACCAAAACTATCTTGAAAATCAAGCAAATTCCATAAAAGCTGCATTCCTGTGCTCAAGTTTCAATAAAAAAATGCTTATGAAATGCAAAAAAAAAAAAAAACTATATACTATATACACTATATATCATTAGTGCTAACCACAATATGGACAGATATCAATAAAAAAAAAAAAAAAATTTTTTTTTTTAAAGTTGCATTGTACAGTGACAATATAATATAATCCGTACACCAAAACTATCTTGAAAATCAAGCAAATTCCATAAAAGCTGCATTCCTGTGCTCAAGTTTCAATAAAAAAATGCTTATGAAATCCAAAAAAAAAAAAAAACTATATACTATATACACTATATATCATTAGTGCTAACCACAATATGGACAGATATCAATAAAAAAAAAAAAAAAAGTTTTTTTTTTACATTTTTAATTTCACAAAACAAATAACCACGAGTTTTTTAACCACAACTTTTCATTTTCCTTCTGTGCGTCTAACAATCTCGCCATTTTTAAAAAGAGGGAGAGAAAATAATTTACACATCTTTCCGTTTGTCATATCTACAAAAATAAAATTAAAGAAACGACTAGGGCTTCACAGAAAATGAACTTATAAAACAGGCCGTCGTCAACTATATTACACGAGTGAATGCCAATAAAAATAAAAACAAACATTTACGTACAGTAGTTCGCACGAGTATGAATGAATGCTGAAGATGGAGGAATGAGGCAAGAAACCAAAGTCGAGAAGGAGTTAAAGCTAACGAGAGAAATCTCCTCTACATTTCTCCACTTGAGTTAACAGTAGTTATCCATACAAGCCGCCGAATTCGATCCGCGACAGAAACGCTCTGCAGTCACACAAACTCGCAAAAAACAATTACTAAAATACAAAATAAGAAACAAAACAAACTTAAAAGGAGGCAAGGTAACAATCCTCCTTTGGCAGGTTAGGTGTACGAGTACTTATAAAGACGCTTGTGTTTCAAACGTAATAGTTGCATCATTTTTTATATTATTAGAGTTCCCGATCCCTTCGTTTGTGTTTCAAGCACCCGTCGAGCTACGAATGAACGACCGCAAACGGCGAGCGACAAACAGTTCACAGTATTCACACGTGATACAAATGTGTCAGCTTGCAGGTCACATGACATGATGTCAGAATTCATAGACATGCCCCTTTTTTGTTTCTGTACGATGTATAAACAGGATTCCAGTTTGCGAGCTGCGCGATAGTGTTCGACTGTGCGTAGAAACCGAACAAACGTTCATTCGATAATTCAGCACAAATTTTTACCTTTTTTCGTTTTCCTTCATTTTTGTTTTTCGCATAGTGTTACGCAATGAAATACAAGTTACGATATTCACGGACGAACAACGATATTCATGAGACATCCTTATTCGCCCCCCGTGTTTATTTCCACGGCGCAAAAGAACCTGAATTTGTCAATCCGTAAATGGACGCGGCTCACGATTTGCGCGGCCAAAACGTCGCCCGTTTGTATTCGCGAGTTTCCCGATGAGCTGAATGGAGGAGAAACAGACGTAAGGTGCTGGGTTTTCTTCGCGGGACAGAGTCATGTCCAGTGTTGGGGGTAACTCATTACAAGTAACGCGAGTTACGTAATCAGATGACTTCTTTCAAGTAACTAGGCAATGTCTTTTCTTCTGACCTTCGAAGAGTCAGTTCAACCGTACTAATAAGCAAAAATTACTCTAGACAAACATTTGTGTGTCTTTTTTTATTTTCTTTTTTAAGTGTTGAAATCTCTTCTTCTGCATTCTACTGTACGGACGTAAATTTACTTTCCCTTCAGCCTGAGGCTTATTCATTTCACTTTTGGTGTGAAAAGGCTTTTATATTTGCCAAAAACAGAACTTTTTTATTTTAAAAACAAACAAGCAAGCCCTGTCCAGATTTTAAAAGTAACGCAAAAGTAACCTAACGCATTACTTTTCCTAAAAAGTAACTAAGTAACGTAATTAGTTACTTTTTTATGGAGTAACGCAATATTGTAATGCATTACTTTTAAAAGTAACTTTCCCCAACACTGCTCATGTCTTCAGCCTCGCTAGTTCACGTTCCGCTTGCGTTTTTCACTTCCTGTTCTTCGCGCATCGCAATTACGTTCTTCGTCAACAACATTTAACTTTCTCTCTCGAATGCGCAACTACTTTCTTTTTCCTCCTTTCTTTCTCAGTGCTGGCCGAAGGGTCGTCCGTCCCAAGTCACGAATTTCTGATCGACACATAATTTAGCCTGGATGGCGCTTCCGGGCGCAAGGCATGCTGGGAAGGAGCTACATCATGGAGTGCAGAGAGTGTGTTTGCGCGAGATGAAAGTCCTCCAGTAGGTCCAGTGTAAACCGTCAGAAACCAGTGGACTGGATTTCTGGCTGAGCTGGTTTACCTGAACGAACAACACAATTAAGTTAAAAATATTAACTACTACATGGAATCTGCAGACTTCATACAATTTCTCTGCTCTGTAAAATGGATTTAAACATGCTAAAGTGTGTTAAACGCAAGACTTTTGAGGGGGTTTCCTCACCATCTCCGGCTCCGCGGTCCAGCGACGGCATTCGGACCGCTGTGGGAGGCTTGTAGACAAGATCGCTTGACATTTTATCCACTGGAAGAGGTTTTCTTAATTTCTTTAGGAGTTTGTAGTGATCGGCTTCAATGTCCTACAGCATCAGGTCAGAAGAAACGCATTAAGATTTACTATTTACAACTACATCTTACTGGTGAATCTCGCAGAAAATATGTACAGGTCACAATTTAGCCACAAAAAGAGAACAGAAAGGGGAAAAAAAAAAACAGCAACGACATTGTGTAACAATCATAGAAAAACTTAATAATAATAATAATCATTATTATTATATACACATCACAGACCTCTTGTTTGCACTGATCATTTATTTGTTTATATTAACCCAGCATAAATTATAAGCTGTACAACAAATAATACTGTAGTAGTGTATTAACACTTTTTATAGCGCATTTACAATATAAAAAAACTTGCATCAATGTCATAAAAGAACAGGCGAGAAGAAACACTGATACATTTATTTATTTTTTTATATTAAATCAGAAAAGAAAAATCTTTATTGTCAAAATAATGTTAAAATGCAAAAAAAGTAAATAAGTAAAAAAAAAAAAAAAAAAATTTAAATAAATAAATAAAGAGGCTTTAATTTCTTAGTGCAATACATTATATATGTGACCCTGGAGCACAAAAGCAGTCTTAAGTCGCTGGGGTATATTTGTAGCAAAAGCCAAAAATACATTGTATGGGTCAAAATAATAGATTTTTCTTTTATGCCAAAAATCATTAGGATATTAAGTAAAGATCATGTTCCATGAAGATATTTTGTAAATTTCCTACCGTAAATATATCAAAACTGAATTTTTGATTAGTAATATGCATTGCTAAGAACTTCATTTGGACAACTTTAAAGATGATTTTCTCAATATTTAGATTTTTTTGCACCCTCAGATTCCAGATTTTCAAATAGTTGTATCTCAGCCAAATATTGTCCTATCCTAACAAACCATACATCAATGGAAAGCTTATTTATTCAGCTTTCAGATGATGTATAAACTAGGGGTCGACCGATTATCGGCGATAATCATAAATCATTTTTATGATTATCGGTATCAGTCATTTTCAAAACCGATTCGCAGATAAAATAACTTAATTTTGAAACGCGCTATTTGCTCTGATGCAGCCTATCAGAACTCACCACTCTGTGGCCTAAAGCAGTCTCCGCCCACCGCTCATCTGATTTGTTGGGAGTCATGAGTCCGACCAATAAATGGGAATTCACTCCAAAAGCGCTTGCTAACTGGAGCTGCTTCAGTGATCACGCATCAGTTGTCTCTCAAAGGTAAGGCAGCAGCAGACGTTGCGTAAGTTGCAATAGATCCCAATCCACTAACGATACACTGAAGTTGCAAAACACCTCAATATTATCTATGATTTCCGCGATGCAGAAAATGTGGATGGAAGCGAGGAATCCAGTCATATAAATGGAATTTACTGTATGACGCGGAATGTCTGTAATAATCGGTATCGGCATCGGCCTTGAAAAACACATATCGGTCGACCCCTAATATAAACCTCAATTTAGAAAAAATGACCCTTAAGACTGGTTTTGTGGTCCAGGGTCACATATAGTATATTATATTTTCTTATTTATTTCTTTAGTTTTTGGGTCAAATCTGACCTGGACATGTGTGGACGTGTCTGTACAGTAATGTTGTGGTGTGTGTGTGTGTCTGTGTGTGTGTGTGTGTGTGTGTGTGTGTGTCTGTGTGTGTGTGTGTGTGTGTGTGTGTGTGTGTGTGTGTGTGTGTGTGTGTGTGTGTGTGTGTGT